ATATTTTCGGCCGATTTTATGAAAATGGTGCACCAAAGTCCCTATGTATCCTTCGATTTGCACGTAATTTGAATTTATAAGTAAATGAAGAACTCAAAATGTGGTCGAATGCACAAAACATACAGAAATAAGTGTAACCTTACATCTAACAAGTTTCGATTAAATCGGTTTAGATTGCGATATTTTGCTTTAAGTTTAATTACATAATTTTGTCCCATTGTAAGAAGTAACTCTATATCTGACCAAAATTTAGTATAGGTTGCAGAATGACATGTTTAATTTCATGTTAATGGTCCTTCAAAAATGTGACATCTGTTTGGATTCCATCTGTTGAGTGTACTCAAAGTGGTGAAGGGTATCATATAGTCGGCCCCGTCCGACTTTACTGCTTTCCTTACTAGTTTTTTGGGAGGAAATAAACATACGATAGAGAAGTATGACGAATGGCATCGATGTTCATGTTTGGCCGGTCAACGAGTTGCTGCTTCGAGCTGATGCTGATCCAATGATCCCTCTTCTTTTTTGTTCATTAAAATGTGGTGTACCACCCCTGATGCTCCAGCGCAATAGTCGCCACATGAACAGTTTTCCACAAAAACAGGCGATCATTTTCTTCGACATCCTTTTCCTCATTATCTTTAAATTGTGAGAAAACCCTACATTTATAATTGATTACACATTAAGAAAAAGTCGCTGCACTTAAAACATTTTAACCAAACAAAGTCAGTCACAAATTATATGCAGTTTTCAAAATCTACCACAAAATGTTCCATTTACACAGAACAATTTACTACGAACGCATTTATAAATTTAAATAAAATTGCGGTTTGCTGAAACAATAGACTGTTTTCAAGAATACATTAATTTACATATGACATCGTCACGTAGAGGCGATTTAATATTCCACATAATTACTTTCAATGATGATGCACTCATTCGTCGTTTTTTCGATACCAGCCTTAAGACTATTAAGGGTTTGCCTTTGGTAGCTCATGCTTGATTAAAATATTGTATTTCAGTTTTTATTTTCTTAATCAACTAATATAGTTAATCAAAAATTCTTAGGAGGTCAGTAATCCTGCAGCTCCCACCAAAAATATCGAATATCGAATTTACAAGAAGTAGCTCTTGACAATTTTAAAAATAACACCTTATTTTTTAAATTAAAAATTTGTTGACAAAAAATATACAATGACAAAATACAAATATAGTTACTTGAAATGCCCATGTTATGGTGGACCTTGGCCCCGTCGAATGAATTTTTTAAAACATTGACCAATATTGGTAATTTTCTAATATGTACTTTTTAATATATTGCATATTACAGTCAATTAAAATTTAAGTCCTAAAAGTTATTTTAAAATACTAGAGAATATCTTCAAAGGTATTCAAATATTACCAAGGAAATTATTATCAATTCGTTTATATAGTACAAATAACGAAGGATCTCTTTTATGAAATCCATACACCAGACTGTCAATTAACGTACAAAAATACGTCTCAAAGCAGTCTTCAATGGATAATAACATTTCCTTTTAAACCATAAACTAGATTTAAATCGGAATTTTAAATCTTCATTTATTTCAAAACTTACTAAATAAAAATGTTATAGAGTATCGCTTTTGTATAAAACAGTATATGTCGCTCTTAGATCAACACTTTAAGAGAAATAAAGCTCTGTTCGAGCTCTGTTAACAAACGGCATTGTATAAAAACCATTTACAATTTACTCTCGGCTCACAGTTCATTAAATAAAATTTAAACGAAAACATCTTGAGCTTTTTTTGAAGATAACAAAATATTGGACAGTTCATAATAAATCAGTGGTAAAGGTAATTTACAAAAAATTATATATTTAAAAATAAAAATTTTTAAATAAACAAATTAAGAAGCTAATTTGAAAAATAACGTGCTGCATACTAATGTTTAATAAATAATTGCAAACAAAAAGAAAATAATTTGCCAAAAATATTCCATATAAAACGAGGTGATAGATCTTATGAAATCGCGGTGTAGACAACTTAAAATTGTAAAAGTCGGCATCCTTAAATGGGATTTAAGCAACGAAGAAAAGTGCTAAGAATTTTTATACAAAACAAGTGAATTTTTTTTAAAGTTTTGAAAATGTCAAATCGTTTCGTAATATGAGTCTTTTATTTGAAAGTGGTTTAAGTAAATTTTAGATTCTTATATAAATCTTGGTTTTCTAGAAAAGTTTTCAAAACATATTACGATATATATTCTACCATGTAAATGTACAAATCCACAAACAAATCAAACACAATACTTCAAATACTCTCAATCTAAAAAGATATTTCCTTAAAACACTTTCAAAATCAACGACTCATGTAAGTAATGCACATTTTACACTGATCAAGAAAATGTATGCTTTATAATGTCATCGACGAATGTTTCGATGTCTAATTGTGGAATAGCAACGATAAAATCCTAATATGCAAAGCCTAGTTCCGAATTATTATTCTTGGTAAATAATTTTACAAAAGGTGGAACATTTGTCACACAAAAGTAATAGTCCACTTGATGATGTAACCGTAGATCTTTTACAAAGAAAACGTACGATCTTCTTTCTTGTTTCTGTCCCTAACAAGTAGAATCGTCATTAAGATTCGATCCACCAAGTGGGGTATTTTTTACACAAAAGTTTGGATCCATTTGGCTTGCTACATACTGATCGATCTTCATCAAAACATTCATCCCTATACTCAACCTAAATCAGATTCACATTGAAAAAAATTCGTGGTGTTCGGGTCACATTTGTGGGCAATAGTGCGAACAGAAAACTATACACAAGTAGATATTTTGATAAATTTCATCACCTGTATCATATTTACAAATTATAATGGAGAGATGGACAGACAGACGGACACACATGTCTAGTCTGACTCAGATAGTCGAGATATGATGATCGCTCTATGAGCAATATTTCGCGGCGTTACAAACGTATAAAACATAGTTTTATACGGTTTAATAAAGCGGTGTTTTTATACACTGTGGGTACAGGGTATTATGTCTTTGTGCATATGTTTGTAACAGGCAAAAGGAAATATGCTTAGAATCACTTTCTGAGTCGATATATGCATGTCCGTCCGTCCGTCTGTCTGTCCATGTTAAATTGTAAACAAAGTACAGGTCGCATTTATGATCCGAATTGGATGAAATTTGGCATATGTCACTTATTCGGTCTAAGGACGAATCCTATTGAAATAGGGAAAAATCGGTTCTGATTTAGATATAGCTCACATATATAATTTCGTCCGATTTTTAGAAAATGGTGCACCAAAGAGTCAAATTTATGCTGATTGACACGAAATTTTGCGCAACGGTCTGAAATTTGGATAGCATAAGGTGTGCCAAGTTTCATTGAAATCGGTTCATATTTAGGCCAAATGGCACGAAATTTTTCAAAACATTCGGAAGTTAGGATAGCCTAAAGTGTGCCTAGTTTTATTGAAATCAGGTCAAAGTTTGATATAGCTACAGTAATGCCTGATAAGTAAGTTTCGATGAAATTGGTTCGGATTTAGATATAGCTCCCAATATATTTTTGTCCGATTTTACGTGAATCGTGCACCAAACTCTTCATGCTTTTTCTATTGACACAAAATTTTACACTACGTTCTTAAGATAGTATAGCCTCATATGAGTTAAGTTAAGGTATTAAATTATGCTTAGAATATTACGTTTCGTAGAAATTGCTTCAGAGGCAAATATTGTTCCTATATATATATATATATATATATTCAACTGACTTCATGCTATTTGTCCTCCAAATAATGAACTAGTGTCTACTTGAGCCTCTGTGTTGTAGCATAAAGGATAGTTTGATTTAATTCAGTTTACATAAAGTTGTCCCTTTTGCGCTGATCGGGAATATATATGCTTTATAGAGACGAAAATGATTATTTCGATGAGTTATAAACGGAATAACAAACTTAATATACCCTCCATACTATGGTGGAGGGTATAAAAAGGTAAAAATGTACCCGGTTATTGATCGCAGTAACCCTACGATCGATAACGTCGGTTCACATCTAAGCACATTTAATTTAGTCCAATTTCATGGCAATGGTTGTTCAAAAAATGCGAAGTCTGTTTGAATATATATAAAGTGATAAAGGGTATCAAATAGTCGGCTCCGTCCGACTTTACTACTTTCCTTACTGGTTTAGTTTGTTTTACCAGGAATCCGAAATCCTTTTACATATATTAACCCCGATTAAAAGGGTGGAAATTTTATGTGTGGATTATATAAAATAACTTAGACCTATATAGACAATTTTCTACAAAAAAATTGGTTTACCCTCATATATCCCAGAATGCCAAATTACCCACCACTACAATGGGGAAATCTGGCATAAACCTTTAAAATACTGACAATGTGGCGCTACAACATATGGACCTATTATTCATTGTTTTCTATATATATATACTTCATAAGCGAACGTGCGAATTACTATAACATATCAAACCTACACTCCAACAGTAATCTTTTGGTAAGGATATTTCTACCCAACGATAACTGCTAGCCTAAAATTTTTCTTCTGTGCAAAAATTTAGATGTGCCAAAATAATTTTAGATTGGGTTTTAGAACAATGTTTTAAAATCGTATAAAAAGCATGGCTTACCAATTATATTATATTTATTTTTATTGTTGAATTATATTTTTTATTTATATATTTATTTATTTATTTTTCAATTTTCCCTTTATTGCACTCTTTTTAAATGTTATTTGTTTTCTTTTCCTCTTTTTATTTTCATATCTACAACAACACCTCTTCACCCACAACGAAATTCTATAATTTGCACCCACCTATCACTTGAACAATGCACAATTGGTTTTATTACGTCAAAAAATCAATGCAACAATCTATTCCTAAAAACCAACAACAACCCCACACACAATGCACTTCACTGCAAAACTACTCGTTACCCCCGAAAAATAACAATAATTGCACACTACTGCACCAAATTTTCCTCCATGGCACCTCCACACACACAGCACTTGAATATTGTAAAGGAAAACACTGACGAGGCAACAACAACAGCAACAACACCCTCAAACGCAGATAACGAGGACAATACAACAACAATGTTGCCAACCAATACTGAAGAAGAATTGCATTTCGTTGTAGACAACAGTGTCGACGAGGAAGAGTTGAATGCCGGAAACGGAAATAACGAATTTGAAACCAATATGTCGTCGTCATCGTCGTCGCAGTCAATGGATGGTGGTGCAACAATTGAAAATAATGAGGACGCCGAGGATGTGAATGACAACTTAAATGAATCGTCATCGCTGAACGATGCTGAAGAGTTTGCCGTCAAACGAAATGAGTTCGACAGCAGCGATGATGAGGACGGCGATGACGAAGATGTTGTAAAACACTCCAATTATGGCATACGCAACAAACTCCGTGAAGATATTTCCTCATCGGATGATGAAGATGCCGGCAACAATCCGGACATGCATCCCACGTTCTATGATGAATGGGGTTCGGCACCGGCTAAAGAAAATAATGATTTAAGCAATGACATTGATGTCTACGATGTGGAACCAGTTGATTTGTCCAATGACATTGCCGTCAATGATGCTCCGGATCTACCCATTAATCCGGATGCGGAATTTATTGATGTCTTTGGTGGCAGACAAAAATTGGCCACAATGCCCAAGTTTGAGAAGTTGTCCTTAAGACAGGCAACAGAAGATGAGGGTGAGGGTCAAGATGATGTTGAGACAGTCGAACATTTATCATCATTTAGTGGTGAAATGAAATAGAATTATGCCAGTCATTGTCACTCACAAACACACACACACATATATATACACCATGTAATAACAATAGTTATCTTATAGACGAGAGAAAAGAAGAAGAAAACAAGAAACGATGAGAAATTAATTTTTATCTCGCAAATGTTTTTGTTGGATAATTATGTTTATTTTTAATTATAAGTCATCTATTATTATTATTTTATTTTTTTTTTTTTTTGTATTTTAGTTTTATTAGTCATCTCGCCAAACTAATTTAATTTTATTTTAATTATGTCACGTATACTCATTTATAAAAAAAAAGTATTTTTCATTATTTTATCTATTATTTATGTAAAAAAAGAAAACGATGTATTTTTTTTTCTAGAATAAACACCTGCGTCAATGTGTAAAATTGCATCTCAAAAAAAATCGATAAATTTTTGTTATCGATAATAAAATTACAAACTAAAGACCAAGTGTTTACAACATAAAGTGTTTTATTTTTGCAAGGACCTTACTTACTTACTTAGCTGGCTTGTTATAGAACGGTTGTTCCATAAGCCGAGCTTAGACCAGTAAGGAAAGAAGTAAAGTCGGACGGGGTATATTCAACAGATGAATCCTAACAGACGTCGCATTTTTAAAGAACCATTAACATGAAATTGGATCCATAAACATGCCATTCTGAAACCGATATTAAAATTTTTAATTTGGTCAGATATAGAAGCTAAATCTGAACCGATTTCAGGAAACTTAACACACATCATTCTAGACCTAATTCATTACGCTGTGCCAAATTTCGTACAAATCGAAAGGTATTAGGGGACTTTGGTGCACCATTTACTTTAAATCGGACGACAATATATATGGGAGCTATATCTAAATCTGAACCGATTTTTACGTAACATAGCACACATTATTCTAGACCTAATTCATTACGCTGTGCCAAATTTCGTGCAAACTGAAAGATATAAAGGAACTTTGGTACACCATTTAACTTAAATCGGACGAAAATATATATGGGAGCAATATCTAAATCGGAACCGATTTTCACAAAATTTAACACACACCATTCTAGACCTAATTCATTACGCTGTGCCAAATTTCGTGCAAACTGAAAGATATAAAGGAACTTTGGTACACCATTTAACTTAAATCGGACGAAATATATATGGGAGCTATATCTAAGTCTGAACCGATTTTCACGTAACTTAGCACACATTATTCTAGCCCTAATTCATTACGATGTGCCAAATTTTGGTGAACCATTTACATTAAATCAGACGAAAATATATATGGGAGGTATATCTAAATCGGACGAAAATATATATGGGAGCTATATCTAAATCTGAACCGATTTTCAGGAAACTTAACAGACATCGTTCTAGGCCAAATTCATTACGCTGTGCCAAACTTCGTGCAAACCGAAAGATATTAAGGGACTTTGGTGCACCACTTACCTTAAATCGGACCAAAATATATATGGGAGCTATATCTAAATCTAAACCGATTTTTCCAATTTCAATTGGGTTCGTCCTTTGGCCAAATAAGTGAATTATGTCAAATTTCATCCAAATCGGATCATAAATGTACTTTGTTCACAAAAATACATGGACGGATAGACGGACATGCGTAAATCGACTCAGAAAGTGATACTATGCATATTCTCAAAAGGAACCATGTGTCTATCTCGTTTCCTTTTTCCTGTTGCAAACATATGCACAAAGGCATAATACCCTGTACCACAGTGTGGTGAAGGGTATAAAAAGAGTTCAAAGCGCGTTGGTCTTGTGCGCATTTCCAGCAATTTGAAATACTACGTTCCAAGATGTTGTTTTCTACTTGGTCTTTCCATCTAATTCGTGGTCTTCACCGTCGACGCATATCGGCCCGTAGATCTTTCGGAGAAATTTTCTTTCTTTCATTCAGAGCTGCCTCATCTGCTTGCGCATGTACCCATGATTCAGATCCATATAACAGCACGGGTAGTATCAGCGTCTTGTAGAGTGTGAGATTGATCTGGCGGAAGGTGGCCTTGTTTCTAAACTGCTTACCATAGTAACATCTGTTGGCCATCACAATCCTTCTCCGAATTTCAAAACTGATGTCATTCGTTTTATTTATGGCGGTACCACGGTATATAAAATCTTTAACTACCTCGAAGCTATAGTTCTCAAGTTCCACAGTTGGTCCGAGTCTACTGGACGTCTTTCGCGTTTATAATATCACCTTGGTCTTCTCGCCGTTTACTGCCAGACCCACTTTGGCAGACTCCTTCTCAATTTGTTGAAAGGTGGCTGTTACCGCTCGCAATGTTCGACCCATTATATCGATGTCTTCGGCGTAGGCGAGTAACATGTGTTTGGTTTGGTGTACAGAGTGTCATTTCTGTTCACTTTTGCCTCTCGTATGACCTTTTCCAGCAGAATGTTAAAAAGTTCACACAACAAACTGTCACCTTTCTGGATCCTCGTTCGGTATTGAGGGGCTCCGAGAGGTCCTTTCCGACTTTAACTGCTGACCTTGTGCCACCTAAAGTTATCCTGTATTGCCGCATTAATTTTGCAGGAATGCCGAACGTAGACATGGCTTTAAACACCCCTGAACGGATAGGGCTGTCGAATGCGGATTTATAGTCGACAAATAGGTGGTATTTGTCGATGTGTTTTTCGTGGGTCTTTTCCAGGATTTGGCGCAGAGTGAATGCATTGACCAGATTTTCACTCTGCAATGGTGGATTTGCCAGGTCTGAAGCCGTACTGGTATGGTCCAATAATATCATTGACCATTGACTTCAATCGTTCACACAGCACACTGGATAGCACTTTATATGCGATGGGAAGGAGACTTATTCCTCTATAGTTGGCACATATCGTCTTGTCTCCTTGTTTGTGCACGGGACACAGGATGCTGAGGTTCCAATTATTGCGCATGCATTCCTCTAGGCAAATTGTACTAATCCGCTGACCTGACCAGCATCTGACCACCAGTCTTGAATAGTTTGGCTGGTAACCCGTCGGCTCCTGCTGCTCTATTGTTATTGAGCCGATCAATTGCCTCATCTTGGCTAGGTGGTATACACTATATGCCGTCATCTCTCATTGGTTTTGAGGTATCCTCTTCACCGCCACTATTTGACACCAGAAGCTTTTCAAAATGCTCCTTCCAGATCCTCAACACGCTGTCTGTATCTGTCACCAGGTTTCTTCTTCATTTCTACAGGAGGATGTGCCTGCACCACAGCCTTCAGTTTGGTGTTTTACTCGTTGATACAATTTCCGGACTTCATTCTGACTCCTGTACATCTCGAGTTGCTCACGCTCACGTTTTTCTTATTCTTTCTTCTTTTTTTCTGAAAATACATTTCTCCTCTCTCCTTTTCTCCCGATAATTCTCCATCACGTTACATGTCGCTACTGTCTGCAGGGTTGCCCTATACGCTGCGTTTTTCATATCAGTAGCATTACGACACTCCTGATCGTACCACGGATTTCTTGGATGGTGGTCTTTAGTACCCAAGTGTTATTTTTGCTGCAGTTTGTTCTATAATATTATCGGGACAAGGGGTGCTTTCGTCAAGCAGTTGGGTAAGTTGAGCGGAGTAGGCCTCGGCTACCTGTTGTGTTTGCAGCTTTTCGACGTCGAGTTTCCGTATTGAGTTAGATCGCACCTTTGCTGCTACATTAAGACGGGTGCGTACCTTGGCTGCCACAAGGTAATGGTCCGAATCGATATTCGCTCCTCGGATCGATCGGACGTCTAAAACACTGGATGAATGCCTTCCGTCTATCACAACATGATCAATTTGATTTCTCGTTGCTTGATCAGGAGAAATCCAGGTGGTCTTGTGTATATCGAGATGCTTGAATCTGGTGCTTCTAACTACCATGTTTTTTGCTGCCGCGAAGTCAGTCAATCTCATGCCGTTGTCGAATGTTTCTTCATGAAGGCTGAATTTTCCGACGGTGGGGCCAAAGATATTTTCCCTTGCGATGTTTGCATTAAAATCTCGCTCGCAGAATTTTAATGTCATGGCCATGGCAGCGATCATATGCTGTTTCTAGGCGTTCGTAAAATATGTCTTTGGTCTGCTCATCTTTTTCTTCGATCGGAGCATGGGTACAAATAAGATGTAGAAGAATTTCGCTTTTATGCAGATTATAGCAATTCGTTCATCTTCTGGAGTGATCTAGAGATGAGGTCTTTTATTCTCCTGTTGACCATAAATCCGCAGCCAAATTCATGTCTCTTTTCATGGCAGCTTTAATACAGTGCGTAATTGTCTGATTTACTTACGCCTGTCCCTTTCCATCGCATTTCCTGTAAGGCAATAATATCGGCTTTGTACTTCTTGAATACATCCGCCAAAGCGAGAACTGCGCCTGTTCTGTACAACGTGCTCACATTCCAAGTGCAGATTCGCAGATCGTGGTCCTTTATACGTTTGCGGGGGTCGTCAACATTAGAAAATTCTTAGCTTTTTCATAGTAGGAGGGGTTTTCCGAGTGTTGGCAACTTACCCGACGCCTCAACCCATTTTTATACCCTTCACCACACTGTGGTACGGGGTATTATGTCTCTGTGCATATGTTTGTAACAGGCAAAAATAATCGAGAAAATGCATAAAATCATTTTCGGAGTCGAATTGTGCATGTCCGTCCGTCTGCCCGTCCGACCGTCCATGTATTTTTGTTAACAAAGTACAGGTCGCATTTATGATCCGATTTGGATGAAATTTGGCACAGGTCACTTAATTGGCCCAAGGACGAACCCTATTGAAATTAGAGAAAATCGCTCCACGTTTAGGCATAGCTCCCATATAAGGGTACCCCCCAATTTTCGATATTTTGAGGTTATTTAGCGCGGTTTTTAACTGAATTCACTGAAATTTGGTAATTTGAGTTCTTATTGGGTAGCAAATCTCCCTACTAAAAATTATAAATATAGGTCAATTTTTTTCGGATAGTTCCCATATAAGGGTACCCCCAATTTTCGGTATTTTGGGGGTTTTGTACGCATTTTTCGAC